TGCGCATCATTTAAAAAGTTAGTGGATCTTAGAATATCTAATCTATTATAGCAGTTAGTAATTCTGTTGCGTGTAACTGTTCAATGAAACATACAATTATTGTAGAAAAACGTTTAATTTCTTGTTTAATGCAGTGTGCGACATATCCAAATTAAAATTCAGTACGTGATCGCAAATTATCGAAGAATGCCATTCACTAATCATTCGAACCGACACAGCTGTTGACAGATCATCGATCAATTATCGACTGTCTCCGCGTATCTGTTACAGTTCTCATCTGCGCAGTAAATCTTTATTTATGCTTCGTGATAGAATCTTTTGCCAACCTTGCATTCGCATATCGTCGACAACATTTTTACCATCCTTTTTACCTTCTGGCACACATCGATCTTATGTAATAAAAGATAGAATCTGATAAAAAACACGTTTCATTGAAAAATAAGTATTTTTCGTAAATACTGTACACAAGCTGCCTCACGAAATACTTGTACTAATTATTTAGTAATTTACAACGTTTACATTTACTCGTACATATATATATTTTTTCAGATCTGTTGAAAATTTTACCAATATAATCACGATAGTCAAGTCTCATAAAAATACTAATGAAATTTCAGAATGCCTCTCATAATGCTCGTAATATATTCATAAAAGATGTTTACGAGTATTTGAATACGTAGTGAACTTATGCCCATGAATTCCTCCATTTTACTCGCGTTGAATGGCAAGAGTATATTTCTAGAAGTCGCTGGATGAAATCGAAAAGAAGGAATCACGCGTTGCCCATTTCACCGAAACTCGTGATCGCCACCCAATCGTCAGTCTTGTTTCGTCACCGATCACGCGTCCCGCCAGCATCTTGTTAGCTCATCGCTTTTCTTCCGTTCGGGGACGCCTTTTGACCCGGTGTTTTCCATCGTCGAAAAGGGGGCGGAGAGGGAAACGCTCGGTTACCAGAGCGGGGGTGGAATATGAGATGCGGGCAAACTGATTTATTTAAGGGGCAGACCAGACATCCGGTTTGTCGAATTACGCTTTAAGAGCGCCTGTAGACGGAGTGGCAGATAAAAACAGAGAGATGAACAGATTGGAGAGAAAGAGAGAGAGCGGGCAACGAGGTGGAACGAGACCGCGTAGCCCGTCGACCCGTTAACCGTTTATCATTGCATCGACACAAGTCACGCAGCCGGACCCTTGCCTGTCCATTTAAAAAACGAAAAAGACCGACGGGACTTTAGTAGGAAGTGACGTCACCGGGCAAGATCCACCTTCAAACCGTGTCGTTCGTCCATGCGAAATTCAATGGCAGATAAAAAATAGTTTAGAGAAGGTAAATGGTACGAAGAAATAGCTCTGTAATATAATACGAAATTATACTTGATAACAGTAACTAGGTGAAGTCATCGATTTTAAAATGGTCGGAGGTGAATGAAAACTTTATTAGAGGTAATTAAATGGTTGGACTGATGTATATAACTGCTCCGAAAGTGATGTGCTCCGTTACGAAGGTTTTATCATCTGTATTTCAAGAGTATTAAAATATGTTTGTGTCTTAAAACAAATAATTTTAAATAGATACTTTAACTTTAATTTTGTAAAACTTATCCTACGGAAGACAGGGAAAATGTAGTCTTGTATTTACGTTTACATTTTCCTGCATGCGTCAGGGTAACTTTTTGTTATTTACCAATATGGTAAAAAGTGTGTAGTACAAAGATTTACATAGATATCAACTTCACTTGTCACTTTTTTTTACTATAAAGTTCTTAATACATATATGTATTTTATCTTCTCTTTCTTCTTGTATTCAGAAATAAAAAGTCTAGAGAACAAGAAAATCTTTATTCACTGGAACTTCATGTTGATGGAAAACTGCAGGAACTTAGTTACCTTTGACTTAGAGCGATCTTTAATATGTATACTTCGTTTTGTACGAAGTTATATATAGTAGAAGGGAATAAGGTTGATTTAATCGATTCGTCAACACGTTTGGATTAGACTCACCCATCGGAACGATCGTGGCCGACAAGATCATCTTCGCCTCGTAGGTGACAATGACAAGCATCGCCCTTTGTTTCGTACTTGCTGCTAGTAGGAAGCAATCCAGCGACAACCGATGCATTATTAATGTCCCCCTTTCGCTTGTTACCGCTCTTGTACTCGCTCGCGCGACGTATATATCCTCCGTGTGTCCGGGACGAACGATCGCGGGCCCCTTCTAATGAAAATTAAGACGTCCCGGACGAGAATTATGTGAAATTAATTGGAACGTGTACAACCGTGTCTATTCAATTTTCTTTGCTATTAAATCTAGATTAATGACCATGGAGACACGTAAATGCAGATAATGTAAATATAATACAATACACATCCGTATACAATAGAGATACGACCTATTGTCTTTATTCTTAATTCTTATAAATTGTTTTTACTCTTCATCTAATAAGTATTGTGGATGTTTATGTAAGTTTATAATTTGAAAGTAGTAGAACCTAGAATTGGAATTTATTTTACTTTCTATTTATTGTTAGAAGTACTTTGTTAGAAGTAGAAGTTTGTTTATTTGGATGAAACTTTAATTATTCTTCGAGCAAATCAATTCTTGCTATCTGAATCTACTTATTTGCATGCGAATTTTATTATATTTTTATTTTATTACTTTTTTATTATATGCAACAAGGAAGAATCACAGATAGTGGAAAGAATTTATGTTACTGTATTTTGTTATACTGTATTGAGTATCACGTGTGACGTACATATATGGAAGCGAGACATCGTAATCCTGTTAAGAAAAGCAATAAAGACACATGCATATATAGTGGGAAGAATTGATTAATTCCACATAAACTCCAATAATTATTTATACATTTTACTACTGTATTTTATATATTTTCCCATATTATGTACATTCTGTATAATTTTTTTACATTCAAACATCCCATGAACGCATAAATATCTACAATCTACTTAACGCTTTCAATCAAAATCATGTTTGCAATATTTTCTATCGTTACAAGCTTACCACCCACGTGAAGTCGCAGCCATTACAATTCTATACAAAGCACGTGAATCGAACGCCATGGCGCCTCTACTTACGTATCATACATTGCAACTAAAGTACAAAAGCTAGAATATGCGATTATTCCGTTGCCAAAGTAAAGTAGTTTATATCTGAGAATTCCGTTAGGTTGGTTCGCATGGAATTTCAATGATTCGTCGTATCTCCAAGGTGAATCGCAGTGACGACGATCTTTTCCTCGGTCGTGCTTTCATCAGCTTCATCGTCGTCGTCGTCGTCGATGCGTGCACACGTGAACACGTCCTCGGGACGCAGGAAGGTCCTATAGATTTGACCGTGTAACGATTTTAACCAGATACGAGAGCGACCAATCGAGAGAGGGAGACCGAGTCGGTACATTATCGCGAAGATGATGCCTATGACAGCATGTGGGAGTCAGCTGTCACTCATTGTTGCCCTGGTAGACGTGATATATCCAGACATTTCGCTTCGTGATACCGACCTGCCTGGAATTCTTATCCTACGACCTCGAGCCACGATCGATACTGTTGCTTTTCGCGTAAACAAATCTGCCAGGGTAGAACGATCCTGCGTGATCCCGTGATTTCTTTTCTGCTTAAAATTCACTGATAAATAATATACACGCGTATACGACTTTAATAACGAAAGGGTTAATAATGCGATACAAATGAATGAAAATGGTATTTACTTACGAGGGTTGAATATATTCTATGTGTATGCTTCGAAATAATTTAATAGTTAGCATTCGTAAAGTGAATTTATTCGTTTATTAAAATAAATATGAGTAGTCGATCAAATAACAAGAGGTTCAACGAGAACGACTACTCGAGTCGAGTGTTTCGTTTCCCAGTCGTGTAGCAAAACTTTCTTTCGATCAACGACGCCGTGAACGCTAACAAAATAATAATTCCATTCTTACATTACTCATGCTGTTTCGATTCTCCAACCACTATCTATAATACGTATACAACGCCCTGTCTTCAACATGAATTCAATACCTCATTACTATACCAGTCCTTCCTCTTCTTACAATCTCATACCAGTAAGTGAAAAAAAGAAAGAATATAATACGTCAAATGAGAAGAAGAACACTAGAAATTTCCATGTACATATGTACATACAATGGCTGCGAAAGTATTAGCGCATTCCCTTATTTTCCAATGAGTTAACTTTTTCTTATCACGTTTCGTTTCTTTATTTTCATACTATCAAATTTTTGCAATTACATGAAAGGATTACTAAATAAAGCGAACTTTGTTATATTTGTGTTATGTAAATGCTACAACAAATGCAACGATGTGTCGATATTATTTGTAGCCATTGAATGTACCATACGCGTCCACGAACGAATACTCAAAATACATAGTCGTCAATCCGGAACAGCCTGAGACGAAGCCCGAGATCGAACGAGACATCGAAACGATCCGAAATGGAACAATTAGGCTCCGGTTCAAAGAAACGTGGGCCTCGTGGTCGCGTATTCCTCGCACGAGGGGCCGGCAGGCAATTTGCCGCGCGTATTTTCCCGAACGGGCAGGTTCGCGGCTTCGTGATTATCACACAGCTACACCCGCGGAATAAGCGAGCGTACGTTCGAGAATATTCAGCGGTTGGCGCGAGGCCGATTCGTAAGACGCGCGCGTCGTCAAATCGTTTATGCGATGGGCATTTTCGAGGAGTGGTACGTGTGCTCCGCCTTTAATCGAGATCGAAATCGGCCGCCGCGGCCTCGTCAATGGTATTCCCCGTGGATGGGCAACGGTATTGCGCGCGTACGCCTCGAAACAACCCTTCGGACGTGACGTTTGTTTCGAGTAACACCGAAGAAAGGGACTTTTTCGAACTCGATGACCGTGTCGTTCGATGCTTCGTGGCCGTTTCATGTGTTGTTTTAATGTAGTGTAAGAGAACTGTGTATCTGAGCGTATCATCTGATCGTTTTTTGTTCTGTCCATTACAGAGGCCACCCTCTTCGTCACTTTCGTACCCCGGTGCGGGTGGTAATGACGACGCACGCAGCCCCGGAAGCGGGGGAACACCCGGACCTCTCAGTCAACAAGCGCCCGCAAGTTTGGACTCCTCGGATCCCGGTAAGCACATTGATGACTCTTTTTTTTGTTTGTTAATTGTACGAGAGAACGTAGCTATTTATGTGGCAAATAATTTTGTGAAAAGCTGCCTTTTTTCTATGATCGATTGGTCATTCAAGATTGTTGAGGATAGAAATACCGGAGTGTCTTTTGGTATAAAAGTGTAGAAATTAATCATGTAAATGGTAATGTTTAATAAATACTTGGATATAATAATTGCTAGATAATTGAAAAAGTGGCCTTTAGTTAAAAATATAGTTTGAACGTAGTTTGGGGTTAGGTTCGGAATGAATAGTACTTTCTCTTGTATCGTGTTAAGTGTGTAATATTAGCATTTTAAGCCGGAGCAATCTTCGATATAAATTACTGGTTGGTAAACATTGTCGATAGTAACTATGGTACAAAAATCGTCGTATATTTAGTATGCCATTTCTACTAATTCGATAAGAATCGATAAGAATCCTAACTCAATTCTGTCCTTAATTCAATTACGGTATCCCCATTTTTTCTAAATTTTTCTTTAAATCTTTTCCCTAAATCCAATGCGTGACCTTTCTTTGCTGTTCGATTTTGAAGCTTAAGCCGAATTTATGTACGCGGATAAAAGACGGGGATGAAAACAGCGTTCGCCCGTCGTGTTCTTCCAAAGTGGAACAGTGCAAGTTCAGCTTTACGACTCCTTCAGTCAACGATTTTCCACACGTTTGACGATAAAAACAAACATTTTATGATGTCTATCGATAAAATCGTACAAATTATTAATAAAACAGGAAATTGATAAAACTCGAATTCACTTTAAATTCAATTCTTCACTCTACTTTCACGACATATAAATTATGTAAAGAAGGAAAGCGAGAGAAATAAAAGACAAATGGCTCTTGTATGTAAATGAAAGATGACGGAATTATTCGCCTAATCGTCGACCATCGACAGGTTTGCAATCGACGTTTACCGAATGTTTATCGATCGTATGAAGATTCACTCTGTAGAAGTCGACGGATCGTGAGAAGCATTCGAACGAATCGATCAACGTGGATCGATCAACGAAACGCGAAGTGGGTCTCTGCGTGGACGAGAGTGTCAGCGTTCTTCGGGGTTCGGCGCGCTAATGACAATATCACGCGACAAGCAACGGCTTGATGACAATCAAGATGCGACTCGTCGAGACCCCACGGACCTTCTGCACGCCCTTCAAATTTTACGAACACCGACTCGCGCGTCAACACTATCAAAGCCGCGGCAACGCCAGCGTCGGGTCTAATGAGCAACCCGTCGCATTGGCGTAATGTTTCCCCTCGTTTTTTTTTTTTTGCTCTCTATGAATTATCTTCAAATGAAAAATTTTCTATCGAAAATGGACAAGGTTTACAGAATTTTTTAATCGAAAGTTTAATCAGAGAAGTTTAATTATAGGAACTATCTGATTTTGTACAATGGATATAATATATCTATGTATCTGAAAGGTGGGAAGTTAGATCCTATCGATCCAGTAAGGACTAGAGTTTTGTTAATGGAACATTTGTAACTTTTTTCCCAATCAATTTACGTCGTCGAATAGTGTTTTTTTTAATATGAAAGGAAATTTCAAGGATTCGCTTCAATTACTGAGTCGCTATTTCTCACACTTACGTATTTTACAATTTTATGGAACTAAATATTTATAACATTATAATAAATTATTAATGGATTAATCCGTGAGTCATCGAGAATACTCCTGTCATTTGAGTTTCTTAAGTTAAGTCCCAGTTAACGTTTCTAATTCGTTCTTCTAAAATCGCAAGCTTCCAGTATATTCCATTCATTCTAATACAAAATTTCAATTCCTATGTCGACAATCTCGTCATCAGGGTTGCAAACAGTTATCACAAATTTCACGAACGAACAAAACGTTCCGCTTTATACATACCTTGCTAAACATCCAAACCACCTGCTGACGAACTACCCCGTTCTTACCCTTTAAAATTTCCGGGTACATTGGTAGTTTGAAGCAAATTTGCCTCGATTTTCACGCTGGTTGAACACAAAAAAGAGCGGAGGACAAACCAGAATAGAAGCATTCCGCGGTGATGAGGCGCGCCAATGGTTAGCGCGGCCGGGTTCAGTCAGTCACCGGAGGGTACACAAGTTCACGACACCATCCCATAAAGATTCATTAAGGTCCGCCCGTCTCTCTATATTCGCTGTGTCGTGGCAGCGTTATAGAGCCGCGTGGCGTGCCAGTTCGCTCTTGTTGCGTGTGTATCGTATAGGTGTACTCTACTCGTGCTCGTCCTCTCACTTTTCTGCGTGCTCGTGTAAGTACACGTCACAGTCAAAACGGTTGATCAATAATAATCAAAAGCGTGCGTTGCGCTGTGTCGATCGTAGGAACAACTTGGGAAAACGGTGTCGCGAGTTCCTTAAGCCGTTTCATCGTCCTCGATTAGACTCGTAATAACGCGTCGATAAGGTGGTCCATAGATTGCAATAATGTCTTTGTTAAGAGGTTTCTTTTTCAAATGCTGTATCTTAATTGGAATCTCACGCGATTGTGATTTCTTGATGAGAATTCTTCGAAATCTGTCTGTAATTAAGATCGAATTATCGCGCCTCGCGAGCATTGTTCAATATATGACTAATTAAGATTGTGTCGAAACGTGTATTTCAAAATCCCGGAATTTGATCGAATTAGTCAACAATACATTTATTAACAATCTTCTGTGAATTAATCGATTCTAAAAATAGTACGTAATTATTATGCAGATCCATACATTTATATTATTCTTATGTGTTACGATGAACGCTATGATATTTCGAAGATTGATTCATTGAGTGTTGCTCCATTTACATTCGGGATGTATATAACGTATTAGCTTTAATTGATGAAAACTAGTATTGATGAAAGAAATTTGTCAAAATTAGATTTGTTGAAATTCGCGTTAACTAGGGAAAATAGACCTTGATGAAATTCGGATTTTATTTATTACAGTAAGAATCGATCCTGCTGAATTTTATAAAGGACAAGTGCGGAAATGAAATGGTCGATGATATAAATTTCGATAGCATACATTTTTTAGTTGAAATGTAACCTAAGAATAGATACTTGTTCTACGAATATTTCATTAACGATGTGTCTGTCTTTGTCCACTTATAAATAAACTTACTAACCAAACAGAACGCTTGATTTAAAAACATTGATGTCCACTGTAAAGATGTGATAGAACTGATTGTACCGTAAGAATTTTTGGAGTGCAAATGCTTGATTATTCTTTACTGCCATTTAAAAAGAGCGAACTGCGAAGAACTCGTATTTTTTCCAGGAAGAAACTTTTACACGCGTTTGTGGCCAGTGAATGTTCTGAGAAAATTGAGAAACGATTTGCAAACAAAACTTACATCTAATCAATATTACTATATTATGAAAATACAGTAAACTCTGAATATTAATTTCAACTACATCGCATAATGTTCATCGAATAATTCTAGCCAGAAGTAAACGAAGCACGTAGTATCTTTACGTTCACCGATGATGTCACGAATTCTTCTCGCTAAGCGTCGACGATTGCCGGTCGCATATTTGTCATCGGCCTTTAAAATTCATCGCATGAGAAACATCGGCCGTTTCGTGACGAGATTTCGATCAGGCACATTCTCGTTCGCGACTTGCGCTCGCACGTTCGGTATTAATTAAATGACGCTAAACGGTAACGCAACACCCCGTGGATCAAACGTCGTCGCGTTTCACCACGATCAGCACGGAAGCGCTTTTTATCCGCGAGCGTATCGCCGCGCGAGTTACCTTGTTGAATATCACGATCTTTATCCCAATGTGACGCGGTCAACAATGAAATCACTACGATCGTAAAATATTATCCAACTTAATACATATTGAATCTTTTGCTCGATCCGAGTGAATCGAGGATATTCAACCGGATATCGATTTTAAAGGAAAGATTCTTCGCGAGGAGAATTCTAAGACGATGAATTGCGAGAAGGATGTCGTAGCCGCGACCTCGAGGAATTTTCGCGCGTAACGTAAAAGTGGAAACGGCCTCTGCTCGCTGAAACGCGGCAATCAGCAAGACTTTCTCCTCGATTCGCCTCGATCGCGTGGTAGAGCGAAGAAATTGTTTCCTCGTCGATAGATTTAACATCGACGTCTTGACTTTTCCAAGATTAAAATGGATTTGGATATATAGATTTATAGTATAAACGCCTATATACAAGATTTTGATTGTATAGATCTATAACTATTTTATTGAAAAATTTCTTTAAAATCTTCATCCTGAACATGCATTTTCTTTTAGTAAATATTAAAAACGTTTCTAGTTCTATTGAGAACCTCTGTTAAACGTTGTTCAGCGAATCGATTCCCCTCGGTAAACGAGGTAGCGGGCCGCATGCTATTCTCTCGTTAATCCTCAATTACAATATTGTTTATACCTCAAACGAGCTGGAGAATCGCATTTCTGGAAAAGCACGCCGCCTTAAATTGTCCGTGCACGCCAGTGACCGTTGCGCACGGTTTGTTTGTCGGAACGAGCCTTTCTATATCTTCCGATCTCACGTTTCCATCTCCGTTTTCTCTTTTCTTTTCTTCTTTTTCTTCATTTTCAAACGATGTCACACGGTTACGAGCTTTTTTCACGATGGTATAAACACCTCCGACCTCGCCCACGCATTTCTACAGATCGTATAGAAACTATACGATTCGAACAGTTCGCGTTTGGGACACGAGTTCGTCAGGTTACCTAATGTCCAGATAGCATCAGTCTCATCGAAGTTGTCACCGACGGACAAGGCATTTGCTCGGCGCCCAGCGAGGCTTTTCTTCGTCGTTTCAGCCCTGTCTATCGGCCCTTTTCGTCGTTTCCCTCTGGTCCCGTGGGCTCGTTAACGTGCCGGCTTGTTTGCCGATAGATATCATCTTCGACGAGGTCTCTCTGTTGCGTTGGTCTTGTCCGCGACCGTGGAACCTCTCTGGTTGGACCTAATTTCTGTCGAATGGAGGCTTAGATCGT